GTGGGCAGCCCCTGAGCCCTCTCTGTGTCCCCACAGGAGTCCCCTGGCTGCCTCCAGGCCTCTGTCACCTTCAACCTCTTCCGCCTGCTCACCCGGGACCTGAGATGTGTGGCCAGGCCAGACCTGTGTGCCTGAGCCCCCGGCCTGCCCTGCAACCTGCCATGGAAGCCTTCGTGTCATTTCTGCCTCAACCACTTGCCTTAACTTATTCCCACCCAGCCACTATTGATGTATTTATTTGTGTGTTGGATTCTCCAACTCACATCCAATTAAATGTTTATTTTTCTACCTTTTTAAACATTGTGCATGGGCCGGGGATTTAGCTCAGTGGTTTCACTGCCTGCTGTGCAAGCGCAAGGACCTGAGTTCGATCCCCAGTACCAAAAAACCCCCCAAAATAAAATAAACATTGTGCAAATGAACAATGAAGAAGAGCACCTTGTATCCTGACCCTTTGTACAGGTCGGTGTGACTTCCTCTGTTTGGGCCCATAACAGCCTAGGGCCCATGTGGCCCTCCCAGCCCTGGCGCCCTTCTCTCCCGGGCTGGGGCTCCGCATCAGGCAGTGGCAGCTCCTTCTCCCAGCTGCAGCCACAAACCCAAGGTTCAGCAGCTGGGCTCCTATGGGAGGAAGCTGCTTCCAAGTGGGTCTTGGCTGCTGCTCTCCGCTCCTGCTGCTCCAGCTCAGGTCCCTGTGTCCCTCTGCGGTGCAGACGTCCTTGCTCTCACAACCCCGCTTTTGTCCTTTTCCTGGACCCCCCTCTCAGAGCCTGCAGCAGCACATCTTCCTTCTCCGCCAGACTGACCTGACCCTCCCCTGCGCCGTGTCTACTGCGGTGCCGCACCCATCGGAAGAGATCGAGGGCTCTCCATATCCCAGGACACTGTCCCTTCCTAAAGCCCACAAACCTTAATTACATCTGCAAGTCCCCGTGCCACAAGGTGTAAGACACGCGCTGCTCCCAGGGCTTGGGCTGGGATGACATCCTCGGGGGTGAAGGTTCAGCCCAGCACACTAAGTGACAGTCCATCTGATTGTGTGTCCGTGTACACAGGACTGCGTGTGTGGTTGGACATCTGACTGTGAGTCCTTCTTCATCTGTGATTTTGTTTCTGGCCCCTCTGAAGATGTGTGAGGGGGTCAAGGGAAACTTCCCTCTTCAGCACACATTGCACATCCCTTCCCCCTCAACCTGAAGTTCTGCAGGATCACAGGGATCGTGTTTCGGGGTGACCTAGACCTCATGCTCCAGTGATCTGAGCCTCTTGGCAGCTTCTCCCTGAGACCCCAGGCTCTGGCTGTTCCCTTCCTAGTTATATTTTCATCACCCTGGGCGACACACTGACTGAAGATGTCCCCAACCATCCCCCTCCTGCTGGCCACGTTCTTCCCTCCCAAGGGCAGGAGCCCCTCCCCACCTGGTGACCAGGGACAGCTGTGCCTGCCACGGTGTCGGCTCCTCTCCCGTGGCAGAGGAACACAGCTACTGGGTAAGAATCAGATTCTCAGAGTCACTGGCATTCTTGCCTTGAGCATGGTGCAAAGGGCCTTCCTCTGGGCCCCAGGGCCTCTCCATCTGCACAGCCTCCTGTTGGGGAAGGAAGAACCAGTGTGTCAGGTGGGCGTTTCCATCCCACAGTCCGTTGCTGCTGGGTGCACTCGACCTGCTGATGTTCTGGGTCTAGTGTCTGGGGTGGTCACTGCTGTCACCTGGCCCTGCACTCCTCCCTCATGACCCAGCACCTGGCTGGCCTCTGCTGTGTGTTTTGTGTAGCTCCCTTGACCTTTTCCCATACCCCTTGGGCTGCACTGGGCTGCCCTCCTGAGTCTGTGTAAACTCCCAGGGCCTGGCCTTAATAGAGTGCTCTGCTTGGCAGGTTCTCTTGGGTCATTGGGTTCTTGTTTTAGAGCTGCTACACCACAGCCTGGCCTGCTGCTGGCTCCCACTCTGGCCTGGTCCAACGTCCACGGCTACGGCTTTGGAGTCTTCCTGACCATGGACCCTGCCATCTGTCTGGGCCTCTCCCTTGAGGATGGGAGTTATGAGTTGCAATAATTTAACTGGGGAGGGGGCTGCCATACCCCAGACCGCCAGATCCCTAAACACTTCACTCACGGGGCAAGCCACCAAGTCTTTAAAGGTGCTGTCTCCTGCCTTCTGGAGCTGGGGACTTCCAGCGTCCTTGCCACTTCTTCTTCGTGCCTGTGACTAGCAGTTGACATGGAGGAGTGGATCCCAGGGCTGTCCTGGAAAGGCCCCCATGGTGTTCTGGGGAGGCGATGTTCCAACAGAGGGCAGCACTGCTCACATAGGCCAGGTCCTGATTCTCCATGAGCACCTGGCCAGCCTCAGTCAGTGTGACCTGCTCCGACCTCCGGTTTTGCACAGTGATTGCCTGTGCAAGATCTATGGCCAGGTATCTCTCAGTGATAGGACCTGTGACATCCTCACATCTGTGCAGTTTGAGGCACTACTGTCTTCTATTGTCATGCATGTTGGGTTTTTTTCTTTTCTTTTCTCCTCCTTCTCCTTTCTTCTCCTCCTCCTCCTCTTCCTCCTCCTCCTCCTCCTCCTCTCTTTCTCTCTCCCTCTCCCCTTCTTTGTGGATGTTGCGTGATCCTGGAAATGGATCCCAGGGTCTCACACATGCTAGGTAAGTGCTCTCCCACTGAGCTATGCACAAGCCCTTTTTATTTTGAGACAGACTTCCTAACTTCCCCAAGTTTGGCTGACCTCAAACTTGTGATCCTCCAGCCTCAGCATCCCAGAGTGCTTAGATTACAATGTATAGGACCAGGCTTTGTCTGGGTGGTTTTGGAAGGAGTAGGAGAGGGGAATTAACTGGGCATGTGATGTGCACCAGCAGCCCTATGTGCTTGAAGCTTGGAGAACCACACAAACACCTGCCATCCGGCATATGCCTGGAACATATGACTCCTTTTCCTATCACAGCTGAGGTGGCTTGGCCAGGCCAGTGGCTTCTACTTGGGCCTCCTGTGTTGTGGTAGCTGTGTGGCCCCATCAGGGCCAGGACTCCATTTACTGCCTGAGTTCAGATGGCACCAGAGGGACCTGAGCGGGCCTCTGTATCCCCAGCATCCGTGTTAGCTAAGGTCTGATGTCCACTGATTTCTAAAGGGCCTCTGGGCAGTTTCCCTTGGGCAGTGATGGCCAGTTATTTTTTCACAACCACTGTCTCAGAAGAAAAGCTCTGATTTGCAGTACTTGCCATTTTCCATGGTGTAAACCCACCCCATGGCCAATTTCTAGCTGCCAGTGTGATGTCTCTATGCACAGAATTTGGAAGACTACAAAATAACACATCAGCAGGGCACAGTTTTGTTTTTTTAAATTATTATTCACTAAGTTTATTGGTACATTTTAGGTATACAATATGATGACATTCATCATTGGGAATTTGTGCCTTTACATGCTACGTCTTGGTTCTTATTTTTTCCCCATTCTCCTGCCCTCCCTTCAACCCCTCTACCCCTCCCTATTTACAAAGACTTTGTTTCTGTTTTCTCCTTTGCTCATATTTTTTCCTTTCCCTTCTTTCCTTTCCCCTACTCTTCCCACTTCCCCTTCCTCTTTAGACCTTTTCTTCCTGTTTCACATTCTCTGTTATACATTGTGATCCTTATTTACACTTTCAGTTTCTCACACCAAAATGTACACACAATAGTCCTAGTTTTCATTTCCTAGGGATATGGTAACAATGTAGTACAGGAAATGTAGAAGTGGGAGACAATAGCTAAGTTTGGTTTTTAAGCCCTAGGTTGGGTTTCTGTGGCCCTGTAAGCCTAGGTGTCAACGTAACAACCTCGCCTCTGTCCACCTTTGCTGGAGCACACTCAGGGTCCTGTCCTTCCACTCCTGATGGCCCCAGACCCTGATGACACAATTTGTCACGCCATGGCACACCCCAGTGTCGATTGTGCTGCTTCCCGTGGCAGATGCAGCCCGTCCTCAGTTCGGTGTCTCGGGAATGTCCTCTTCATTTGAATGGTCCTCGAGGTGGACGTTGTTGTGGAAGGCTGACAAGAAGGGAGGCTTCACGTCAGTGACTATTTCAGAGGTTTCAGTCCATGGCCACTTGGCCCGGTTGCCTTCAGGCCTGTAGCAGAGGTGCTTGTGGGGGAAAAGCTGCTGGCCTCACAGTGGCCAGGCCCGACCAGAACCGTGAGGAGGGGCCAGACTTCCTGGATGCCCTGGAGCACAACCCTGAGGACCCAACCTCCTACCCGGCCATCTGCGAAAAGCTCCACCGCTTCCCAAGAACAACATTGGCTCAGAGCTAAGCCTTCAACCCCTGAGCTTATAGGAGACCTTTCAGATCCAACCCCAACAAGCAGTGTCTGCCTGTCCACTGTGAAGCTCCAGTTCCAGGTCCATCCCAGGTGCCAGCCCCTCCCAGGCCTGGCCATGCCCTTCCCATGTGTTCCCATGCTCATTTATTTCTCTAAAATTTGCAAGACAAAATGTTTCTCCATCCTGTTTCTTGCAAGGAGCCTCTACATTGCAGAAGTGAGGGACAAGCCCACTTGTCCTGCCTCTGCACACAGGTGTCCAAGGCTGCCTGGGTCCTAGCAGCCCTGCTGGGCAGAGATTGCAGAGCCCAAGGTTCACAGCACAGATCCCGGGATGGAGGATCCAAAGCCACAGAGTGGAATTCCTCACTGTGTCCCTGACCAAGGTGTGCAACCCGGTTGGCAGGGGACCACTCATTCACCCAGGCCCCTGCTCTGCCCAGCCATGGGTGCTCAATGCCCCAGGCCAGGTGTTTGCACCCACCTCCCTTGAGGTCCTCTTGGGGGCCCTTTGGTGCCTCCGCATCTTTCTCAGCACCAGAGAGGGTTCCCGGGCCAGAGTGATCTGATTACCATTAGAAGGCAGTGATGAAAATATTTCCCCCGTGATGTGGTAATGTCGCTGCTTCTCCATTAGTGCATTCAGACCTCACCCATCACAGCCTTAATAACTACTGTAACCGAGAGGTGCAGAGGAGCAGAAAGGAGATTGCAGGTCTCCAGCAGGGAAAGAGCACAACGGGCAGTGTCTGGGAGGCCTTTGGGTGACATCCCAAGGTCAGTTGACACTGTGCTGTATGTTGGCCTCATTGTAAAAGATGTGGGGTCTCCTGAATAATGGCCTCGCAGATGTTCCTAATGCCTGGGCCCTGTGGGTTTGTCACCTTCACGGGCAGAAGGGATCTGGGATGGACTGAGGTATGAGTGGGAGGGCAGGGTCCTGGGGTGACCCAGTGGCCCCTGTGCTGTCAGAGGCCCTCATGGAGGAGGTCGGGGCAGCATCAGCACCGGGGGATAGGACAGGGGCAGTGGGAGACTGGAGTGACTGAGGGAGGGATGGACCAAGGAGCGCAGCCTCAGGAGCAGGAGAGACACAGAGAGCTGTGGCCCTGGGCTCTGAGGATCCTGCACCGTTCACAGCTGGGTTTCAGATCTCTTCCCCACAAATTGCTACACTCTAACCAAGCAGTGGCACTTGCCTCCCAGCATTCTTGGAGGCTGAGGCAGGAGGATTCCAAGTTGAAACCCAGCCTGGGAAATAGCCATGTAGTGAGATCTTGTCTCAAAATCAAAAATAAAAAATAGGACTTGGCTAGCATAAGCAAGTCTCTATGTTTCCTATCCAGCACACAAATAAAACAAAACAATACAAAACAAAGCATTACCTAACAAAACTTTTGGGTGCTGATCAGTCCTCCAATCTGCCTAGAAAGTGGGGGGGGGGGGTGTAGTGAGGGCTAAAGAAAGAAAAACACTAGAGACTTGTGTAATTTCATAGTATATGGCAGGCTGGGAGGTCAGTGCCTCAGAGTGGGCAAAGACAAAGATACTTCAAGCTAGCCACTATGTATTGGGTGCACACAGTAATCAGAGGAAGTATCGGGTGACTCAGAGGGTGGCAGGAATCCTATGTTGATGATGATCTTAGATTGATGAGGACGGTGAGATGGGCAAAGCATTCTTACAATAGTAGTGGGACGAGACAGCAGGCTAATAAGGAATCGGTCCTTCCCCCAGTAGAAACCTTTCTCTCTCTTTTTTTATAACTACTTGGTTCTCAATGAACCAGGATATCTTCCGCTGATGTACTCTTGCCTTTGACTGCCGCAGCATCATGGGACCATTGAGGCCTCAGCTGTGACTTGGAGGTACACGGAGTTATGTTTCCACATACAATGGCTGGCTCTCGGGCAAGGTGACATTGGGCCTTAGACAGCTATAATCATAATCTAATTATGAAACGATTTTTCCCAAAAAATTATGTAGAATGGCTCTCGACAAAAACCATTGTGCTTTAAATTTCAGTGTTTTTGTGTTCCTTTTAATTAGGCAATTTAAAAAAATTATCTTTTGGCAAACACATAGCATTTACCATCTTAACCAATGATAAGTGTACAGATCATAGTTCTATGCACATGCACACTGTTGAACAAGCAATCCTCAGAACTTCTTTGCTCTTGCAAAACTGAATCTCTGTACCCATTAAACCCAACTCCCATCCCCCTCCATTCCCCCCTACAACCTCCATCTACTTTCTTCTCTGCGAGTTTGTCAACTGTACATAGGGCCTATAAGAGGGGCCACACAGTATTTGTCCTTTTATGACTGGCTCATTTCACTTAGCACAATGCCTTCAAGGTTCATCATGTTGCTTAGGTCAGAATGTCCTTCAGTTTTGATGAGGCTGAAAAAGCTCCATTGTGGGTAGACTACATTTTACTTACCCCCTTATTCACCAGTGGAAGTTTTGAATCTTCTACACCCCTATCTTTGTGGTGATTGGTTTCAGCAGCGATAGAACCAATACAAGCAGTAAATATCAAATTTCAGAGAGAGAGGTGAGTGAAAAATACAGATTTTTTTGCCCTCTTTCCAAATCACAGCCCTTCTTTGAATCGTTATGGCCAGTCAGAAGAACTGCCCCTAGGGACTGTCCTAATCTTCGAGGCAGAGCCTAGTTCTCAGGTGTATCCACATTCCAGGTTGGCGGTCAAAGAAATAGGGATATCCTCAAAAGCGGAAGGACCCGAGTTCAATCCCTGGCACCAAAGGAAAAAAAAAAAAAATAGGGAAACCACACACTAGGTTTTTTGTTTTATTTTGTTTGGCAAGGATTGAACCAAGGACCTGTTTTGTTTTTGTTTTTGTTGTTGTTGTTTTGAGACAGGGTCTTGCTAAGTTACCTAGGCTGAGTTGGAACTTGCAATCTTTGTGTCTCAGTCTCCTGGAGGGCTGGAATTACAGGTGGTACCACCAGGGTGTTTAAAACAAATGAGTGCTTTAAGGCCTAACTCCTAGTGAGGAGACATACCCAGTAGCACAGCAGCACAGAGCATACTGGAAAATGCAGTCTTAAATTGATGACCAATGAGGCTCCATGTCTAGTACTGAGGAAGGAGGGGCAGAGGGTTCTGGTGGACAAGGCAGAAGCAGCCCCTAGGTCCCCCCAGGGGACTCCCTAGATGGGCAGAAGTCAGGTGACAGATCTCAGCCAAGTGTGCTCAAGAAACCCAATACCTCTGGAGGGAGGAGGTGCAGGGGTAAGGTCTGGGTAGCAGATAAAACTCAGCCTCCCTCAGCACTCATCTGCTGAGTAAATGTGGCCAAGTCAGCTCTCTCATATGCAGGGTGGGAGAAAGCGCAGCACCCACCTCAGAGGCCCAGGTACTGCAAGCCCACTGCTCTCATGTGGGCAAATCCCTCAGGACAGGCAGGTGCCCGGGACAGAGCTTTGTCGTCACCTACACTTCGCACAGGCAGCTCCCACCCACTGGGATGCTGTTGCCAACCGCCCACACGCTTCCTTCAGGGGCCTGTCAGCAGCACCACCTCAGCCAGCATACCGCAGGTGAGTCCTCCTCCTCCACACCCAGACTCTCCATCTCCTACTTCCCATAGCCAACCGCATGCATGTTTCCTACTCTGCTATTATTCAACTTCCCGCAGGAGCATTAGCTCCGCAGGGGGCAGGGTGTGCGTGCGTGTGTGTGTGTGTGTGTGTGTGTGTGTGTGTGTGTGTTGCTGATGACTGGGGCCTCAGTGCCTAGAACAGTGTTGCCCCAAGTAACTACTTGATAATACTTCTGGGTCGATGATGGACTAGATAAGGGACCAGGCTGGTCACAAGCAATTTGGTTCCTTTGGAGCCCTTAGCTGGACCTGGAATCCTCAGAGGACACCATTCCCATCTCCCTCTCCTCCCCATTGGTGGCAGGTAGGGGAGCCCTGTCCTTTTTATTATTATTATTATTATTGCAGTGCTGGGGCTTGAACCATGCATGCTTGGCAAGTGCTCCACCACTGAGCTCCATCCTCAGCAACCTCCTTTTTATTTTTAGACAAGGGATCACAAAGTTGCCCAGGCTAGCCTTGAACTTGCAATCCTCCTGCCTGAGCCTCTTGAGTACTGGCATTACAGATGTGCACCACCATGCCCAGCTCAGGTCTGCCTTTTACCTCCTTCTTTGGTGTTTCAAAGTTCTGAGCTATTTATTAACCTAGTGCACAGTTGAGATTGAGAACAACAGTGTTAAAAAGTAGAGGGTTGGCACTGTATGCATATACCCAATTATCATACTGTAGCTCCCAAATATTTAGATTTAAAAAGAATAAAACATTTTTTAACGAAAGGGAAGCTTAGAGAGGCCTGGGGATTTAGCTCAGTGGTTTCGCCACCTGCTGTGCAAGTGCAAGCGCAAGGACCCGAATTTGATCCCCGGTACCAAAAAAAAAAAAGAATTCACAAAGGAAGGTTAGAGAGTTGAACACTGAACGACTTTAAGAGAATTTAACTGCTCATAACTGACCAGCTTTCCCATAAGGAGCCTGCTCTGCCTGCAGAGCCCAACTGGCACATTGAAGTAGAGAGTACAAGTTCTTTTCTTTTTTAGTTTGGTTCTTTTATGTAGCCCTGACTGGCTTGAAACTTGTGATCCTCCTGCCTCAGCCTTCTGAGTGCTGGAATTACAGGCTTATGCCACCACAACATCTAGGAATATAATGTGTGTGCATGTGTGTGTGTGTGAGGGGGGCACTTGCGTGTGTGGTATTGGGGATTGAACTCAGGTCTTTCACACACAGCCACATCCCCAGCCCTTTTTTTTACCTTTTATTTTGAGACAGGGTCTCACTAAATTGCTAGATTGCTCAGGCTGGGCTTGAACTTGTGATCCTCCTGCCTCCGCTCCTAGAGTGCTGGGATCACAGGTGTGCACCAGCATGGCCAGCTAGGAGTAGAATTTTTAATGGAAGAAGATAAAAGATTATCAACAAAACTGAGCAGGTAAAAACATGTTCTTGATTTCATACTCTGCAAATCACACTGGGGCACATATGTTCCTGGGTGGCCATCTGGTAATAAATTTGGTGCCTAATATATTTAGTAAAAATCACAAGTCCCTGTTGCCTGGTGCACATTCAGATTTAATCAAGTCACTTCCCATCTTAACACTTCCTCTTTTTTATGCTTTTTGATCAAAATTATTAAGCGTATATCAGTGGGCTTCAGTGAGGTATTTCAATACAAGCATAAAACATGCACTAATCAAATGCTTTAATGTTCTATATTCCTTCTATTCTTTCATTCTGTCTTGGTCTTGGCTCTCTCTATCCTGCCATCCCATAGTATTCCTCTCCTAAGCAAACTCCTTCTAGGAGCCCCCAGTCTCCCTCAAAAATTCTCCCTGGGTAGGACTGGGGATTTAGCTCAGTGGTTTCGCCGCCTGCTGCACAAGCATAAGGACTCGAGTTCGATCTCCGGCACACACACACACACAAAAATTCTCCCTGGGGACCCCTCACCAGCCCCTCCACACTAGGGCCCTGGGCGGGAAAATGAGCCCTGCCTGCCCCACCTTTGCCCCATCCGGGCACCCATGGCCCCTCGTGTTGTCGGGAGCTGCTGAGGGTCCAGGGATTGTCACGCTCAGGTGACTTCCAGAGCACAAACACTGAGCCCGGTCAGGGTCCCTTTCCCTAAGCTTGCCTGGCTCCCTGCCCCACCCTGCTCCAGTCCTCCAGCCTGGGGATCCCCTGGGTCTTCCTTCTGCCCAGCTGACACTACACCACACAGCTCTGGCAGGGCTGATGTCCCAGGAGGAGATGAGATCTGCAAGAGGAGGCTGAGACCAGAGAGTCCACACCAGAGGAGACAAAGGGGGAGGCCACCGAGGTCCCCTTGGGCAGATGAAGGCACCCTCTTGCCCGCCGCCCCTCCAGGTGGGCTGACCTAGATTCCCACCTCCAGATCCCTATTTGCTTGTGAAGGCCTCAAAAGATGTTTATTCTTGTGGTTTTTCATAGTTCGTGAAAAATAAAGAATGAGAAAAACAATGTGTCCTCGACATTGACCCTGTTTGTGTTTGTGGCTATGAAAGACAGCACTGCTGCTTCTGCGACTGTATCCCCCTGAGTGTGTGTGAGAGACAGAGACAGAGACGGAGGGGGCCGGGGAGGGAGAAGGACGGGGGATGGGCCAGGAAGCATAGATGAGGAGTAAAGGATCACGAGGGATGTTTTCGGCTAAAGTCACAGAGAACGTGACTTAAACCCGGCGAACAATGATACCTAATAAGATGTCCAGAGGGAGGCGGTGGCTGGGTCAGGTCTCGAGCTCAGGATCTGCCCCCGACTGTCTCCAAGACATGTGTCAAACTCCTGTCTGTGGTCTTGCGCCTTCACCTCCTGTGGTTCCAGACCAGGGGTGATGTCTCGGTGGGGTCCTTGCTGCTTTAACACGGAGCCTGGGTAGTTTATAATGAGCTGTGTTTCTTACAGTTCTGGAGGTGGGGAAGTCCGGAACACAGCACTGCTACCTAGTGAGCGCCCTCTTCCCGCTTTATAACAACAGGGGGCGTCCTGCGTGGAGAAAACGCGCATGCGTGACAAACACAAAAAATCCAGGCGAACTCATCTTCTTTTCAGGGACGCGCACCTGTGATAACTTATCCATTCCCACGACAACAGTCTTGATCCATTCATGACAAGTGAAGCCCTCGTGACCTCCTCACCACTTGCCGGTCCCGCCTTTTAATATTGTTATAACAGCAATTAAAGTTCAACCCGAGTTTTGGGGAGGACATGTTCAAACCACAGCAGGTGACGACGTCAGGGCGGGAATCCCCTGGGAGGAATGTTACAGACAGAGTTGTCATCCCGAAGTCATTTCTGATGGCAGACGTAGGTTAGAATTCATTTTGACTGCAAGCACTAGAAACCCACTCAAGTTAGCTTAAGTGAAAAGAGGAATGTGGTATAAGAATAAAGGATGTGTTAAAGAATCTAATAGAAACATTTTGGCATTATCTTGTGAAGTTGGATATATGCAGATTCTCTGAGCCAGAAATTCTACACCTAAGATATGTCAAGGGGAGCTCTCGAGCCTGTCTATTGGAGACGCTAGAAGAACGTTCTCAGCAGCATTGTTGGTAACAGTAGAAAATTAGAAAGCACCCAAATAGCCACTAACAGATGGGCAAAGGAAATCGGGGTGTGGAATACTATGCGGTAGGAAAATGAATGAACTGTCACACATTTCAATATGGGTAAATCTCAGAACTAAGGGAATGTTGGATGAGTGCCACTTGGGTCTCCCTTCAAAAGAGAGCTTGTCACTCAGCCACAGGCTGTACAGTTCCCTTCTAGTCACGCTGCCTCTGGGGTCTGCCTTGGCTTCTGAGTCAACACTGGAGAGGCCACAGACAACTACCTGGAGCTCTTCCTGTCCAATCCCATATCAGTTCCCCCCCCCCCATGTGTCACATCTGCATCACACTGTTGAGTTCTCTGCCAGCTCCAACTTCCTGTCCCTTGTACTTCTTCCAGGTATTACCTGTCAATAAATCTTGCAAGCTGTGAACCGACAGCAGCCTCTCATTCCAGCACAGGAGCACGAGGCCAAATTCCAATACCAGGTTGCAGATGACTACATGGCATCGGCTGACATTTTGTAGGATTCCACGACAATCAAACTACCCACTGCCATGTGATTAAGCCAAACAGAAAAGCAATCAAGTGATAAACAAAACAAAATGTCAGCCAGCATTTACCTAGCACCAGGTGAGTGGGATCAGGAAGGGCACACAGGTAGCTTGGATGAGGTTACGATGTTCTGTGTGTTCAGCTGACTGATGGGGTTATAAATATTCATCTATCATTAAGATGCATGACTCTCACATGCTCTTCAAATATTCTCTGTGGGTCCCAAATATTTTATATTTAAAAATGAAGAGCTGGGCATCGTGTTCAATGGTACAGTGCTAGCCTAGCACATGCAAGGCCCTGGGTTCCATTTCCAATACTGAAAAAAAAGGAGGGTGTGTTGTTGCATCTCATATTAGCACAGATAAGAGATCAAGATTCAGAATTTGGGTACAGTTTCTACTTAATGCGTATGGTTTCCACACTGTTGTAGAGTCAAAAAATGTCTACTCTGAGGCTAGAGCGGGGGGATCACAAGTTGAAGGCAGGCCCAGGTAACTTAACAACATAAAAATAAAAGGACTGGGGATGTAGCTCAATTGTGGAGCACCCGGGGGTTGGATCCCCAGTCCTGGAAGAAAAAAGCATGTCACATCAGTGCAAGTCACTGTCTTCTTTTCTAAAAGTTTAAAATTTTTCTATTGAAATTTGTGACCCATTTGAAATTTATTTTTGTATAAAATGGAAGGATTATGTTGCGGTTCACTTTTCCACCTATACATGTCCAATTGCTCCAATACTATTTGTTGAAAAGCTTGTCTCCTCTTCTATTGAATTGCTTTTGCACTTTTGTAAAAAATCAGCTGGGCATATCTGTGTGTCTATTTCTGGGTTTCCTATTGTATCACATTGATCTATAATGCCTAACCCTAAGCCAATTCTACCCTAGCTCAATTACTGCCATGTATACTAAGCCTTGAAACCAGATAGATTTATCTCTCCCACCTTACTCTTTTTTCTCCAGAATTTTTATATAGATATTTGAGTTCTTCTAGCTGTCTATGTAAATTTTGGAATAATCAAAAAAAAATCTTACTGAGGCTTTGATAGGAGTCATGTTAAGCCTATCCATCAACGTAGAGAGAATCATTACTCTGTTGAGTCCTCTAAGGACACAGCACATCTATTTTTATTTAGGTCTTGTTTGATGTTGTTCATCAGGAATTTATAATCTTCAGTATATGAGCCCTGCATGTGTGGGGTTTTTTTAGATTCACCTAAAATGTGAATGCATGTGTGTGTGCATGTGTGCACGTGCGCGTGTCTGTAAATGGCACTGTAGCTTTAATTTCAAAGTCTACCCAAAACAGATTCTTGTCTGTTCTGTTCTTCTGTGTCTCCAGTACCCACAACAGTACCTGGCACACAGTAGGTGCTCAATAAACACTTGCTGATAGAATGAATGTATTCATTGCTTGCACTTAGAAATATAGTTAACTTGATTGGGGATTTAGCTCAGTAGTTTCGCCGCCTGCTGCCCAAGCACAAGGACCCGAGTTTGATCCCCGCTACCCCCCAAAAAAGAAATATAGTTGACTTTTGTCCCTTTGTCTTTTGTCCTATGACTTTGCTGAACCTACTTACTACTTCTAGGATTACTTTTGTACATTCCCTAGAGTTTCTAAGTAGACAGCTATGTTACCTGTAAATAGTTTTATATCTTCTTTTCCTGATCTCTATGCTTTTCATTTCCTTTTATTGGTTTATGGCAGTGGATGGAACTTCCAGTGCTATGTTAAATACAAATGGTGAAAGAGGCCAACATTGCCTTCCTCCTGACCCTAGGGAGAAAGCCTTCAGTGCCTCACCATGGAGCCAGGTGTGGTGGCACACACTTGTAATACCAGCACTTGGGAGGCTGAGGCAGGAGGATCATCATGAGTTTGAGGCCAGCCAACCTGGGCTACATAGCGAGATCCAGACTCCAAAAAAAAGTACCTCACTATGGTGTGTTAACCACAGTGGCTTTTTCTTTTTTTTTTTTTTTTTGGTACCAGGGATCAAACTCAGGACCTTGTGCTTCCGAGGCAGATGGCAGCACCACTGAGCTAAATCCCCAGCCCACCACAGTGTTGTTTTTTTTCCACCACAGTGTTTTAATAGGTGCTTGTTATGAGCTTGAGGAAGTGGACTTCCCCTCCATTCTTAGTTTTTCTGACAGATTTAAAGAATCATGAATGCCTATTAAAGTTTCAATGATGCTTTTCCTGCATGAATTGACAGGATATTGGGCAGGGTGAACCTCAGCTCCTGCCTAGGACCCCAGGTGAAGGTTCAGCCCTGGCTGGGATATGACACTCTTACAATGGACGGTAAGAGCCCACAATCAGTTATGCACTGTGCTTCAGGGCTTCTGCCCAGAAATGACACAGAATACTGCCACTCCCATTTTATTGGGCAAAGCAAGTAACATAGCCCAGACTGAGGTCAATAAGACAGATTTATAATTTTCCCCCAAGAAATGGATCCCTAATTTTGAGAAGAAAATATTCTGAGTAAAAAGACAGTCTGACCCATCTTAAATTCACACCTCCAATTCTGATTTCAAGAAAAGCCAAAGCAGCTGGCCAAGGTGGCACATGACTATAATCTTAGCACTCAGGGGGCTGAGGCAGGAAGATCCCAAGTTTGAGTCCAAGGTGGGCAATTTAGTGACTTGGCAAGACTTGGCCAGACCTAGATTCTATCTATCTATCATCTATCATCTATCTATCTATCTATCTATCTATCTATCTATCTATCTATCTATCATCTATCTATCATCTGTCTATCTATCATCTATCTATCTATCATCTATCTATCTATCTATCTATCTATCTATCTATCTATCTATCTATCTATCTTGTTTTTTGGTACTGAGGATTGAACCCAGGGTCTTTACACTGAGCTGCATCCCCAGCTCTTTTTATATTTTTTATTTTGAAACAGGGTCTAGCTAAGGTGCTAAATTGCCCAGGTCAGGCTTGAACGATCGAACTTATAATTCTCCTGCCTCAGCCTCCCAGAATGAAGTTAAAAAAATTTTTTGAAAAGGCTGAAGATGTAGCTCAGTGTGAAGGTCCTGTGTTCAATCCCTAGGACCACTGAAGAAAAGAAGGACGAGAAGGAGGAGAAGAAAAGAAAGAAGGAATAAGAAAAATAAAAGAAAAAGAAAAACTGACCCTAAGGTCCCCGCGCTGTCTTCTGAGGGAGGATCCACGCTACAAGCCGTCTGACGCCGAGCCAGGAACCCCAGGCCGCTCTCCGTGGTGCTGAGGACCACCTACACCTACGGCGAGGGCAGGAAGGGACTTTGAGGGGACTTTGAAGGGACTTTGAAGGATGCCTGTTAATTTCTTCAGTACTTACAGGATTTTGTTTGTTTTGCTTCGTTTTGTTTTTGGTACCAGGGATTGAACTCAGGACCTTGTGCTTTTGAGGCAGGTGGCGGAACATTGTTTGTTTTGTTCTTAAATGAAACATTGTTGAATTACACATGGTTGTAGAGCAAACAGAACCATCTTATTGTATATTAAATCCAACTGTATTCACCAGGGTTTTTCCTTAAATAATAGAGAACTCCAACTCAATTGCTTAAACCCTCAGGAATCTGTAATCTCTTATAACTGCAAAGCTGAGGTTAAGATAGATCAGCGTTGGTTAATTCAGGAAATCGCACTAATGCCACCAATAATTCAGATTCTTTCCATCTTTCTGCCTCATCTCCCTCCACATTTTGGCTCATGCTCAGGTTAGAGTTCCTCATGGTCACAAGGTGGCTATCCCAGTTTCAGACATTACATCCTCGTGCAATGTCTAGAAAAAAAGGGACAGCATCTGCTGGTCATGATGGGACACACTTGCAACCCTAGACTCTGGCAGGCTGAGGCAGGAAGATCACAAGTTAGAGCCCAACATGGGCAACTTAGTGACCTAGCAAGACTCTGTCTCAGAGATGTAGCAGGGAGTGTGTGGCAAAGGGAGCTGCTCACCTCATGGCAGCCAGGAAGTAAGAGAGAGGAATTGTCTGGAGTTCCACAATCCCCTTCAAGGGCACACTCCAGTGCCCTAGCTTCCTCTCATTAGGCCCACTTCTTACAGGTTCCACCACCTTCCAATAGCACCACGGGCTGAGGACCAAGCCTTAGCACATGAGCCTCTTGGGAGCCACTTACCCAAACTATAGCAACAGATGTAAGCTGCTGAGACTCAGAGTTATTTTGTTACTGCAGCAAAACACAGCCTGTCCTGACTGACTGATTGACTGTCACCATCCCATTGAGTGTCTGCAGATGAAGAACAGGTGTGTAATCTCTTAGCAGAGTCCAGCACATAGCAAAGGTTCAGATACCCCTGTGCTTCCCTCTTAGAGGGACACTTGTTATTTCATTTAAGGCCCACCCAGGTAATCCAGAACAATCTCCCCATCTCAAGATCCTTAACTTAATCAACCTGCATGTCCCTCATGCCAAGCAAGAGTACAAGCATGAGTTTCAGGATTAGGCGGTTATCTTTGGAGACCATTAGCTACCACAGTTCCCTCCCTCTGCTAAACTCAGTTTATGGAAAGCCTGAATTCCCTTTTCTCCTGTTGACACTCTGTCATCCTCTCAACCTGCCTCTTACTTGGGCTTTGTGAGAAGACCTCAAAATCTGTTCTTCCATCGGTAACAGGAAACTTGATTTTGAACCAGGGATATGGCCAACCTGAATCCAGACTCAGCTGCAGCTAAGTTCTGCCAGGAAGATGTAGACAGGAGTGTAATGTCAGGGAAGAGCATTCCCTTCTTGTTCCTTCCCTCCTCCTTTCTCCACACATGAGCTTGGATGCAAATGTGGAGGACAGAACTCAAACAATCATCTTGGACTATGAAGAAAAAGACATATATTGATGATGGAGCCATAAGATAAAAGCAGCTTAGACTTCAATACTGTGGCACCCCAGGAAGCCTGGACAGCCCTGCTCTTGTGAAAGAATATTTGTCATTTGCAGTAAAACCAAAGCCTAATTGGTGAGCAATATAATTATGGCCCCAGAGAGGTCTCCAGAGGCTGTGGTCATATCATGTTGGATGGTGAGGGAGAGTTAAGGTAACAGATAGAATTAAGTAACTAATAGACTGGTCTTAAAATACAGGACTCTCCCTTTATTTGTGGTTTCATTTTCATGATTTCTGTTCTTTATGGTCAACCATGGTCTGAAAATATTAAATAGAAAATTCCAGAAATAAAAACTTCTGAGTTTTAATTTGCACACTGTTCTGCATGGCAGGATGAAGTGTTGTGCCATCCTGCTCTGTCTTCCCTGGGACATGAATCATCCCTTTGCCCAGAGTGTCCACATTGTATACCCTACCTACCCATTAGTCCCTTCACTTCATAGCTGCCTTGGACAGCTCAACTGTCACAGTATCACAGTGCTTATGTGCAAGTCACCTTTATTTTACTTAATAATAGTCTCAAACCATAAAAATAGTAATGCTGGCAATTTGGATTTGCAAAAGAGAAGCCATTAAGTGCTTCCTTTAGTGAAAAGGTGCAAAGTTTCAACTTAATAAGTGAAGAAAAAAATCTTATGCTGAGGTTGCTAAGAACTACTAAAAACAAATCTTGTGTCTGTGAAATTGTGAAGAAGAAAATTCATGCTAGTTTTGCTGCAGTGCTGCAAACTGCAAACGCGACAGCCACAGTGTGTGCTAAGAGCTAAGTTAAGATGGAAAAGGCACTAGATGCTATCATAGCTATATCTTTATAGGGAAAAAGAGCACATAGAGAGTTTCGTGCTACCTGCTGCTTTGGGTCTTAGAACGTATCATCTGTGGATACAGGGCATGTTGGTCTGCTTTCTGTTACTGTAACACTGGAGACAATCAACTTAGAGAGAGAAAAGTCTTATTTTGGCTCATTGTTTTAGAGGCTTCCATCCATGATCATTGGCTCATTGCTTTTGGGCAGAACATGATGGTAGAAACACGCAGAGAGGAAGCTGCCCATCTCACTGTGACTGGGAAGTGAAAGAGACACAGGGAAGGGTGGGATCCCAGAATCTCCTTTAAGGTTGAACAACAGGGAAGGCTTCACTGGTCTGCCCTCTAAAGGCCCCACCACCTCCCAGTAGCTCTGATGTCTGGGGACTGAGCCTTTCACATGTGGGGAAGGGAGCACTAATCCAAACCATAGCGGAGGTTGGGGGGCAGCACCAAGAAAATTAACCTGCATTATCTGAGTAAGTCCAAGGTGAGGACACAGTCAGAAAGGGATTGGAAGCCAGCACTCTGCTAGCTTGGACTAGAAGGAGGTGCCCAGGCAGGCAGGGTGGGGTGGGTGGGTGGTTTGAGGAGCCCAGGATGCAGGACAAAAAGCAGGGTGCTTCCCTGGAGCCTCCGGAAGGGACACAGCCTTTTACTGATTTCAGCCCAGGGAGACCTGTTTCAGACTTCTGATGTCCCAAACTATAAGATAATGATTCTGTGTCATTTTATTTTTTTATTTATCTTTTTGGTACTGGGGATCGAACTTGGGTCCTTGGGCTTGTGAGGCAGGCGGTGGAACCACTGAGCTAAATCCCTGGCCCTCTGTATCATTTTAAACCACCCCCTTTGCAATAATTTGTTACAGCAGTGATGAAAACAACTGCATAACTGGCCCAGGATTCTTCTGAATCCTTTTCTGTCTATTTTTTTTAATCCTTTTCTGTCTTTAAGGCCTCTGATTAGTAATAATAATAAAAACCAATACTCCATTAGGAACCTTTTCGAGTATGTCTGAAACAGACTTGGCACACTATTCCCTACCCCCAATCCTGGAGATTGAGCGGAGAGCACTCACACTGAGCTACATCCCCAGCCCTTTGCATTTATTTTTTATTTTGAGACCTGGTGTCTGAGTCACTGAGTTGCTCAGGCTGAGCCCAGACTTGCCATCTTCCCGTCTTAGCCTTCCAGAGTGCTGGGATCACAAGGCTGCGCCACCAGCTCCAGCAAAGTGCTGCATTTATAACTCAAAATTGATATATAAGAGAGTGAGCCAGTGGTGATGGCACATGCCTGCAATCCCAGCACTCTGAGAGGCTGAGGCAGAAAGATCACCAGTTCGAGGCCATCTTGGGCAACTTAGCCAAACCCTGTCTCCAAATAAAATTTAAAAGGCTGTGGTATAGTTCAGTAGTAGAGAGCACTTGCGTAGCATGCTTGAGACTTGAGTTCCATTGTGCGTACACATACACACACCTTTTCTACAGATTTCAAAATTCCAAGGTGTGTTTCAAAATTCCATTGTTGCGTGTATTATGCCCACTTCAAACTTGAGGAGGAGTGAAATTTTGAAAGTAACTTTCCTGAGCTCACACAGCCCATAAACAGCAGAGTCAGGATTTGAACTCGGGTCAGGCCTCCAGAACCAGCTTGCTCAATCTCTGCACTATGGCGCCACCTCGTGAGCGATCCCGGGCTCCTTCCCAGGTCCTGCTATCAGCGACACCCGCCCCATCTCCCCGCCACCCCCGGGCCCAGCTGGCGCTCTCAGGCGAGAGCGGCGCTGCGGAGGCGTTTCTGACCGTGTCCTCTGCGGGCTTCCGGGTGAATTTCAAGTCTCTCTTCGTTTCCACCTCATCCCAGCGTCTTCCTGGCCTCACTCACCTCTGCAATCCTGCCAGGAGCGGTGGCGGGTTCCAAGTTTGGGCTGCATTCTTGAGGAATCTGTCTCAGCGAGGATGGTCAGTCTGGAGGGAGACTCCGCTCAAACAATGGCTCTCGCTGCCTGGCGTCTCCTGGGGAAGTGCAGGAAGTGCAGAAACTTCGCAAATGCTCCACACACTGACGTATTCCTCACAATCACCGGGAAGGCTTGTTAAGGCTCAGATTGCAACCGCCAGTGGTTGCTCACACTTGCTGTAATCCCTGCAGTTGGACAGGGTGAGACAGGAGAATTGTAAATATGAGCCTGACCTGAGCAATTAAATTTAGTGAGATCCTGTTTCAAAAAACAAAAAAGTAGGGGCCAGGGATTTAGCTCAGTGGTTTCACCACCTGCTGCACAAGCGCAAGGACCCAAATTCAATCCCGGGTACCAAAAAGAAAAAAAAAAGTGCTGGGGATGGAGCTCAGACCAAAGGCCTTGAGTTCAAGCCTCAGTACAGCAAGGGAAACAAAACTCTTTAGATCCTCAGGGTCCCATCCCTGGAGTTTTGCTTTGGTAGGGCTGGGTGGGGCTGAGGGTTTTATCCTCTAGCAGCCTCTAGCAGATCCCCAGAAGAGGCTGATGCTGTTGGCCCAGGGAACCCACTTTGAGAACCACTGCTTCCAAATGAGGCAGTCACAGCTGCTTTGAAATCATATTATCCCTAAGACTTACAGCCATGTGCTACATAATGACACTTTGGTCACAGGGGACAGCATATACAATGTGACCCCATAAATTATATTATCAAGTGACATTGTAGTCATTTTTAAAATTAATTAATTTGTTTATTTATGGTACTAGGGATTGAATCCAGGACCTTCACACAGAACTACACCTCCAGCCCTTTTAAAAATTGTTTTATTTTGAGACAGGCTCTCCCTAAATTAGCCAGGTTGGCCTCAAACTTACCATCTTCTGCTTCAGCTTCCCAGAATGCTCTGATTACAGGTGTGCGCTGCCATTCCTGGCTTGTCGTCATTTTAGTTTGTGTGAGTATTCTGTGATGTTTGCCTGACAACAAAATGACAACACAGTTTTTGGAATGTGTCCCCATTGTTAAGTGAAGAGTGATTGTATATGGAAATGATCCCACCCAGTGGCATTTCATGACGCAATTGTGATGAGTTCTGGTGCCCCAGTGTCAACCTCCTTGCCGATCTGAACATTGTCCTGTATTTATGCAACACACTTAACATTTTCATTTAAATTACGGTGGCATCCATATTGTTGTTTATATTCAAGGTCCACCCTATTTGAGAAAAATATTTTCTCATCCAGTGGCAATTTCAGGAGAGACAGTTTCCTTTTCTATGGTTCTGCTGGACAATGTCGAATCAAAGTTGTGTGATCTGAAAAGAGAATTTCTCATACAAATCAAAATATATCGGTGAAGATTTAAAAAAAAACCCAAACCTGTCTTTCTTCCCACTGCATTTCCAGAGTCCTTTGCAATGTCTCTGTTAGAACTCCTTTCTCAGTGTTCGAATATTGATTTACCATCTGACTTTCTCAAGGGCTCATGTGTTCCTCAAGGGCAGGACAATCTTCCATTTAAAGAAAAAAAAATTGTGCAATAGGGAGATGTTTATTTTTCTGCTATTTGTCCAGTCTGTGTTAATAAATAGAAGATGGTTTGGGGGTAAGGATGCTGTGGGCATGTGTTTGTGCATTTGTGTGCTCATATGCATGAGTCAGATGTGTGCAAGGGACCTTGTGTGTGTGAAATCTTGTGGGGTGGAGGCTGTAGTGGGTGAGGACTGGGGGCTTGTTGGTGATGGTACCTGTGTGACCCATGGGGCCACACAGATTCCCATAAGGGTACCAGGGACTGTTTCTCAAGGCTTGAGTATCAAGCACCTGTCTATGTGTCTACACTTACAGTGTGCAGGACTTTAGAATTCACCGGTGAGGGGCTGGAGGTGTAGTGCAGTGGTAGAGCCCTTGCCTGGTTTGCAGAGGCCCTTGACTCCATCCCCTACCCCCCCCCCAAAAAAGAAAAAAAAAAACTGGGCCTAGGTGAGCACACCTGTAATCCCAGCATTTTAAGGGGCTGAAGCAGGAGAATTGCAATTTCAAGTCCAGCTTGGGCAATTTAGTAACTTAGTGAGACCCTATCTTAAAATATAAATTAAATAAAATAAAAAGGTCTATGGCTGTAAATCAGTGCAAAGGCATTGAGTTCAACCCCAGTCCCACAAAAACAAACAAGCAAGCAAACGAACGCCCTTCATCAGTGACCAACAGTGTCTGATTGTGGTGGATGCATAAAGGGGCATCACTACTTCCATCCCTGTGTGTGCTGCATGGGGGTACTGTGCCCACTCTCTGGTCTCTGTCCCTTCTGTGTGACAGCTGCTGTGTGCTTCAGGGTCTCCCTGCCCTGTGTCTCAAGTTCCTGGACCCTCCTGGGAGGTGAGGCTGTAGGTCACTGTACCACATTTATGTGTCTCTACCCAGTGTCCAGGGGCCCTTGCATCATCAGGAGGTGGGGGATCTGTGGCCCTGGCATCAGGAGGCCCTCTGGGAAGTCAGCATCTGCAGATTAGATTTCACGGGGTCATGGAAAGAAAGGAGGGTGAAGGTTCCAGGTCCGGCCTGGGCCAGGGCCATGGTCACAGATTACTGCAAGACCAGTCACAAAACTACTGTAGACTGAGCTTGGACCCTATGCCAGGCACTGTACTTCATGCTCTATACATTCACATTTATATTATTGTCTCTACTAAATATTATATTTTAAGTATATTTATAAATAAAAAATCACATTGATTGTTCATGTGTTACATTAGCTATAGATTATCTTATACATCAACTCCTTTTTTATTGTCCCATTGAACACAGGAGGAAACTGGATCTCTGAGAGGTAAGTTAACTTGTACAAGGTCACTCAGCAAGTAGGTGGCAGACTCAAAATTTAGGCTCATTTGCAAGAGCTTCCAGCCTTTGCGTCCTGAGCACTGCGCTATTGTGCCCAAAGTGGAAGACACAGTGCTTGGAGGAGGGCACAAACAGGGGCAGGGTTATAGCTGAGTGACCACAGCAAGTGTAAATTGTTGTTGGTGTTGTGTTGTGATAGCTGATGTTTACTGAATCCTTACTAAGTGCCAGGCACTGTGCTAAGGGTTTTAGTAATGACAATGGCAAATACTCACATGGCAGAGAAAGGAGGCTGACCTTTCTGGCATCAGGGACGTTTTGTGGAAGATAATTTTTCCATGAATGGGGGTGGTGGTAGATTTGCGATGATTCAAATGTGTTACTTTTTTTTTTTCCAGAGACAAGAAGGTAAGTTTATTTTACTAACCAATTTTTTTCTTTAAAAATTTAATGCTCACTAATGATGTGAACCTTTACAGACCTTGAGAGTGACCTTCCAGAGCTGGCTGAGTCCCCTTTGCAAAAGGCAAACCCATTTACTGTCCCATTTGGAGGTGGCCAGAATGAATAGGGTAGCCAACAAGTGCAGGCCTAGCTCAGGACAAGGGTGGGGGAGATTGCTGCTCTGTTGGAGGAGAAAGAGCCTTGACGGTGGCTCAGTGCCGGTATTCAGGGCCTGGGGAGCATACTGGTGGGGACAAGGCTAGGTTTTGTGTTGATCCTGGGAATGTTGTGAATTTCTCCTTCAGGAGAAGTCATTGAACTTTTTCAACTGTATCAGTAGCACAGTATTTTTGTATGAAAAGGGGAGATTTCTGAACAGTAATTCATTTAATTGCAAGGCATTTTGAAATAATAAAAACCTGCAAAACTCAAAAAAAATTTAATGTTTGATAAAATAAAACAAACTTTTAGTACCATAGAAACCTCCTGACATGTACAATGACGTATTATTATTATTATGTACAATTTCAAAACCAAAAGCTTCCAGCTCCATGTAAAGTGATGTTGAACACCCTGACTATATTTAAGCTATAAGATATTTCCTAGATGGCTAATGTTTTCCTTGACTTGGAAATAAATCAAACAATTGAAAAATATAAATAAGAACTTCAATGAATTGAGAATCATAAAAATGCTATCTGAAGTTTAGTCATCTGGATCTTGAGAGGTTTGTAGTAGTTGTAAGAGTTCAACAAGCAAAATGAAACCCTGTGAATGTTCAAACTTCAGTCTACCAGGATAGGTCCTCTAGGTTCGCAGTTATTCTATTAAAGATAAAAAGCTATCCCTTGCTGTAGCAGAATTTGGTATATGGCTCATATTCCATTTTTCACCAGCTAATGGGCTCCATTCTCATCAATGATTAAAGGTGCATGGAATTCTTTATCTGCCACATGACTTTCTAGTCCTTCTCCAGCATAGGAAATAAGAGGAGGGATTTCACACCGGATTGGTACATCATTGGCATCCTTCAAGCTGGGAATTGCTGGAAGGTGAGAACTATTTTCATCTATGAAGTGGCCCCCTGCATTGAGGACCTAGCAATGATGAAGGGACATCAAAGCATGCCTTGCAGTCGTAGGGTTGTCCTTCCCATTCTGACTGTCTGCATTCTTTAGTGGGGAAAACTCATCTTTGCATAATACTTCATACACCACAAACTTCTTTGCAAACTGGAAGATGTCAAAGACAAAATTTTCCATCTTTATTCCATTTAGCTTTTCTGGCTTAATTAACTCCCCCTGGGAATCCATGTGTGGAGTCTTCTTTTGAGCCACATGGTATTGCATCAAATGCATTACATTTATTGTGTACTTTATTTCTATTATTATTACATTGTAGTATATAGTAAAATTATAAAATTTGCCATAAATGCAGAATCCATGGGAGGCTTCAGTTTGTTTTCCTGCATGATCCAATCTGGGGGTGATGGGTGACAGTGACACCCCAGTGTGTTGCTTATGTCTGGTCTACTTCATAATCTCATTTTGATTGCTGCCACTGTAGAAAACCCTGGTTCACAAAGATAGGATGTTGGAAATGAAGGCAGATTTTTCAGTGCTTTTGTGGCAATCTCAGGATATTCTGCTTTGATTTTAATCCAGAACATATGGAGATTCAAAGTTGTAGTACACATATTTTTAAGGCCACTGTCATTTATGATGATTATTGATCCTCTTCTTTTTTTTTTTTTTTGGTAACATGGATTGAACTCGGGACCTTGCGCTTGTGGCAGAACCACTGAGCTAAATGCCTGACCCCATTGATCCTCTTCTAGTGTGGACAAATTTGATTCATCTGGCTTATTCACAAATAGGTCATGGATCCATTCCTTCCCAGTGTGGGGGTCCTTTGTGGTTGGGAAGCGATGCTCAAGCTCTTGCTAGTTGAGATACGTGATCATGGGAGAAAGAAGGTCCTGGCTCAGTCTCTTTCAAAATCTCTGCTAATGTTTAAAACGTGTCCAAAATCCCAATGTTCATTTGCTGCCCCATAATTCAAGTTTGGCTTTGAATGCAGCCACTTAATCTACCAACTTGAACAAAGTTATCATATTCCTCTGAAGTGACAGATTGAGTTCATTGAGCAGGTTGAATGTCACACAAGTAAGCAAGTTTTCAACCCATCCTATGTCACTGAAATGTGATGACTGTTTTTCTAAGAGAAATCTCTGAAGAAGCTCTCATAACTTAAAAACTCTGGCCAGTGATCTACCTTTAGAAAGCCATCTAACTTCTGTGTGCAAGAAAAGATGTGTGTGTTCTGCATCCACCTCTTCATAGAGGTATACAAACAGATGTGAGTTAAGGGCATGTACTTTAACATGGTTTATAATTTTAATCATATCCTGCAAAATGCTGTAAGGTGCAGGTGACATTTTTCAGCTAGCCAGTATTTCTCTGTGGATGACACAGTGTGTCAACTCACATTCAGAAGTGACCTCTTTGACCTGAGTAGTGAAACCACAAAGCTGTCCAGTCATGGCAGCCGCTCTATTTGTTCATATACTAATGCCAAAATGACCAGTTTAGTTTTCCTGATATATAATCATTCAAAATAGTTCTGGAGCTTTGGTGTTGCTTGGCAACAAAAGCACACATAACATATCCTCATGCACATCTTCTTGAAAAATACATTGCACAAGGGCCGGGGATTTAGCTCAGTGGTTCTGCCACCTGCCTCGCAAGCACCAGGTCCCAAGTTCGACCCCCAGTACCAAAAAGAAAAAAAGTTAGCCTAAACTCAATAGTGAGACCCTGTCTGAAACAAATGAAAAGTAAAAATATATATATATATTGCACAAAAACGGGCATTGTTGCCTTGTTGTCAACACAGGTAGACTGGTTAACCTGGATTGCATGCCACGGTGATTCATTAATCCTGTTTAACAACTGTGGCTCAAAATCCTCTGCTACTTCATCAGTTCATCTAGTTATGCTTCTAGTTATGCTCTGTCACCTTTTGAATTGCAACCTTTCCTAAAAGCTCATGACAAATATCCTTAGCAGGAAGAATCAACTCTTTACCTAGAGTAAAGGGCTTCTTAGCTTTAGCAATTTGGTTGGCTACTAAGAATGATGCTCTCAGTGCAGACACATTTGACAAAATGGTGGCTTTCAATAAATGCTTCTGTTCTTTGTCTTCATATGTTTTTCCTCTTATTTTTCAATGCCAGGTGCTTAGCATCCATGTGGCAAAACAATTTTGAAGGTTTCATGGCTTTATTGGATAGCCAGTTACTGCATTTTTGTTTTTTTGTTATGTTTTGTTTTGTTTTTCTTGAGACAGGGTTTCCTATGTAGTTCAGGCTGGCTTAAACTCACTGTGTGGCTCAGGCTTGTCTCAAATTTGCAGCAATCCTGCCTTAGCCTCCTGAGTGCTGGCATTATAAGCTTATGCCACCATGCTTGGCTTCCACATATTATACATACTGGTCTTGGAGTATGTGAATTGCCTATTGCAATGAACTCACAATTTAAGTGGGGCTCTTGGCATTTTCTTTTAAATGCAGGCTTATTTTTGTTGGTGGTCTTAGAGTCCTCTCCAGTCTCATCATGGGATCTTCCCCCCTTTTAAAGAAGCTCTCCACAGATTTTTTTTTCTCATTTTGTTCAGGGTTAGCTTATGATTTGACCAAAACTGACTGAGACATTGTGCAGTTCAGAAAAGAGGCATAGACAGAAGTGGTAAATAAAATAATGGGTACACACAAACCAAGTCATATTCTGACTTAAATTCTGCCACAAGATGTAGCTTGTCACTTGCCATTCACTGATAGGATTTTGATGTGAATCTGCAAGCAACTGACTTATTATGGTCTCTGTGCACTCAAACCTCTCTGCTAGTGTGATTCTGTTTGCAGCTCCTCCTCAATGCTAGCATCACCACCTCAGCTTCATCTCAGATCATTAGACATTCAGTTTTCATAAGGAGCACACAACCTAGACCCCTCACATGTTCACACTCCCATGAGAATTAAATGCTGCTATTGATCTGAGAGGAGGTGGAACTCAGGTAGTAATGCTAGTGATGGGAAGCAAGTGCAAATACAGAAGCTTCACTTGCTAGCCCCTCTAGTTTATCTCCTGCTGTACAGCCTGCTTCCTAACAGACCACTGACTGGTACTAGTCTGTGGCCCAGGGACTGGGGACCCCTATCATATGGCATTTAGTAAGGGTGGGCCCTAGTTGCAATGCTGATACCTGGATTAATTCATTTGTCCTTTATACCAGCATTCTGAAGTAGATGCCACCAGTGTCTTCGTGAGGCCCTGAGGTGCAGCCATGAGCATGAGCTCTTAGACAGCTGGGACTTGGACCCAGTGTCTGGCTCCCTAGGTTGCCCCCCCCACTCTCTATATCCCCTGTATAAAGACACATAGCAATCCACCTTCACAGGAATCCAATGGTGTAGGAAGAAATGTCACCCACCTTGCAGATGGGGAAACTGAGGCGCAGTCTCACAGAACCACAGACCCTGTCTACCCCATCACACTGTGGACCTTGTTCTCATCCCACAAGAGTCTCAGATCTCCAAAGAGTCTCCAAAGTGCTTTGGCCAGGGACCCAGTGCTGTGTGTCTCTGGCCAACCCTAGGACCTTAGTCTTCCTCCCCTTCCTGAACTTTCCCTTTGGTTTATTTCATTTCTCCTTGTTGATTGGTAAGAGCTCATCATATATTATGTAAATCGATACTATTTTTCCCTGCCTTGATTTGGGTTGTTTTTATTTTCCTTTGCTTTGTTTACTGCAAGAGTTTTTCAGATTTACATAGCTTAACAAGTCTACCACTTATTTTGTAGATTCAAGATTTCCAGTCATGGTTAATAAAGCCTCTAGGCAGGGCTGGGGCTGTAGCTCAGTTGGTAGAGCACTTGGCTAGCATGTGTGAGGGTGTGGATTTGATCACCAGTACTGCAAAAACAAAAGAAAAAGAAAAAAAAGGCTCTTGGTTGGAGGTGGCAGCTTCCTTTCACCTCCTTTCCCCTCCTCAGCCTGTCCCATAGTGTGAATATGTTGAAGGGAGGAGCTGATTTTTCCTTATCAATTCATAAGAGTCTTTATATATCATAGCTATTAACTCTGTTGTGCAGAGTGTGACAAAATTTTTCCCACATATTTTGTCTTGCAAAGGTTTTACAAGTCTTATACAAGCCCAGGCGTAGTGGCACACACCAGTAATTCCAGTCCTTGGAGGCTGAGGCAGGAGGATCATAGTGAGTGAAATCCTGTCTCACGCAAACAAACAAATCTTGTCCAAGCACAGTATGTAAGCAGCCGTGGGGGTGCATACAATTCCAGCAAGCTGGGAGGCTGAAGCAAGAGGACTGTAAATTTGAGCCCAACCTGACCAACTCAGGTGCTTAACAAGATCCCGTCTCAAAATTTAAAAAAAGAAAGAAAAAGAAAAAAAGGAGGGGGCAGCTCAGTGCAAAGGCCTTAGTTTCAATCCCCAGTACCATAAAAGAAAAAAAAATGTCCTTAACTCCCGCCAGTTGACTTCATGACTTTCTTACAGTGTTATGCGAATATGTCCTATGTCCGCTCTGCATCGGTCCACGCGGGCTTCTCTCCCTCGGAGTCCTTATCTCACAGCTTCTCCCCTCCCACGGTCAGATGTATAAAAGCTCGCAGGGGCTCTGCTCCACAGTGTCACCATGTTCCTGCTGTGCCCTCTGCTGTTGGCCCTGGCCCTGGTGGCTGCTGCCGGCGTCCGAGGAGCCTGCCCAGCGCCACTGACCTCAAAAATGAGGAAGGGACGCGCGTGTGCGCCAAGCTCTACGACAAGAGCGACCCCTACTAAGACAACTGCTGCGCGGGCGCCGAGCTGTCCGGGTGGAGTCGGGCGCAGACTTGCCCTTCCTGCCCTCCGACTGCTTGCTCACCGTGTGGTCCCGCCCGGGCAAGGGCGGCAAGACGCGCAAGTTCTCATCGGGTGCCTACCCCCGCCTGGAGGAGTACCGCCAGGGCCTCCTGGGAGACTGGTCCAACGCCATCTCCGGGCTGTACTGCAGGTGCCTGGTGCCCCCCTCAACCCCCCAGCCCTGCCACCCAAGCCCCTGAGACTCCAACTGAGACTCCAGAGCCAGTCCTGGAGACCCCCTTGCAGAGTGCACCCTCAAACCAAGCCTCCTGTGCCACCCAAGCCCCTACCCCGCTGCCCAGCCAGACTCAGGGGCTCAGCACCCCCCCAGGCTCCACTCTGGGAGTCCCAGAACACTTCCCAGCTCCCCATCTACATTTCCCAGGGAGGGGTGCCTGGCTCAGATGGGGAGCTCACCAGCTCCCTCGCCTCTGAAGCCCCAGGCCTAAAGCCAGCCCCGACCCACCCCAAATCATCTCATCTGAAAGCTCCTCAACCCCACTCTGGGACTCTCAGACACTAAAACTGATCCAAATCCCAAGATCTCAGGCCCAGTTCTAGGGCATCCAGTCTAGTCTAGCCAGCATGCTCCCCGCCCACCTCTAGATCAGCCTTAAACCCCCAAACCAGTCCTGGGGCCTCCAGCCCCAATCCTGGAAGCCCCAGAGCTCAGCCTGCATTCATGTTTCCAAACTGCCAGACCCTGGCACCCCAGATCCAGCGGCAGTACCCTCCATACCAGCCCCAGCTGCCCCCCTCAAGCTCCAAAAGCCCCCAGCCCCAAACTCTCCCAGAACCTGGACCATGAACTCCTGAATTTGAAGCTCCCCCACTCCCCACCTTGGATCTCTGAGCCCCTGGCATCTCCCAGTGACAATTTCTGATTATGTTGCAGGTGCTACTGATGCCTTAAGGTCCCTCCTCCGCAGTTCCCCCACCATGCTGGGCTCCTCACCTGGCCTGTCCCCAGAGACTGCTGTGGGCCCCCTGACCTGGGAGCAGAGAGCTTTCTACCTGCCTGCCACCCTGCCTTTCCTGCAATACAGCCCTTGTGAAGTTGTCCCCATTGTCATTCTCCCTGTTCTTAGAACCCAAATCTACACAGCTCATGGGTAGGACGTGCCGGGGATGGGGACAGTGCCACAGGCCCTGACCTGGAGTCAAGTGTGCACAAAGACACTCGCACAAGGACCGTGTGTGGCTTGGGAGGGCATTGCTGGGTGAATGGTCAGCATTGAAATCTTGCCCACTCTTTGGTAATAGCCTTTCCCTGAGCTAGTCTGGCCTCCCATAGGAAGCTGGACCCTCCCGTCCGAGGCTGGGACAGCAGGGGCACATCTAGGACTAGGACACTGTCCCAAGCTAGGGCCAGGGTCTCTTCAGTGGTTTTTGTTTTTTGCAGTACCGGCGTTCAAACTCAGGACCTTGCATTTGCCAGGCAGGTGAAGTCCCTGCCCCCTCCCTCCTTTTTTTAAACTGAGGTTTAAAGCTAGGGCCTTTGTGCCAACCTAAATTCCTGGCCTTTTAAAATTTTTATTTTGAGACAGGGTCTCTCTAAATTGCCCAGGTTAGGCTCAAATTTGTGATCCTCCTGCCTCAGCCTCCCATGCAGCTGGGACTACAGGCAGGTGTCAGCACAACAGGATTTTTGAATACTTTTAACCCCCCTCCCAGACACGCAGACGACACTTTGGTTCAAATTGTCGTGTTTCTGTTCAGGTTACAATCTGTGTTCTCAGTGCCCCCAGGGATGAGGACCCTAGAGGGCTGTTGGGGCCTAGGGACTCTGGCAGAAGTAGAGAAGAGACCCAAGGGGTCCTGGAAGAGAGGTGAGGAGACAGATCTGGGGCAATAACTGGTTGAAACCAGGAGGGGATTTGAGGAATTCCTGAGAGTTCAGGGCTATGGGAGAAGAGGTAAGTGGAGCCAGCAGGAGGCTGTACACAGAGTTCAGAGGTCAAGGTTGATGCAAATGATCCAAGGGAGCTGGACAATCAAGGATTGGGGGATGTGCCGAGGGGATGTGAACTGAGAGAAACTATAAGGAGGAGAGGTCAGAGAAGCACTCAGTGTCCTTGGGCTTGTGTGTATGCTTTCATTCAGTGAAGATTTATTGAGCATCTACTATCTGACAAACACTGAATTTGCAAGGAGTGGCCCCTGCCCGCCTGGAGCTCAGAAAACCAGAGTCAGACACGGGGGGGGGGGGGTATGAAAAGGTCAAAGGAGAAGCCAAGGGCCAGGCCAAATGCAAGGACCAGAGTTGGACCAAGATGCTGAGGGGTCAGGAAGGGGCAAGATGGTGCTAAGGGGACACAGTGGAGCTAAAGGGTCAGGGAGAGAAATGCCAAGAGGTCAGAGAAGTGACAAAGGAACAGAGAGGAGCCCAGGACTAGGAACTTTTAAAGGCCAAGCGGGTGCTACAGGGCCAGGGAGGCACGGGGTCAGCCTGTCACTCCCTGAGCTGCACCGACACGGAGGAGTCGGTCACCCTTGTGCGCCGCAGCCCCCCGGACTCCATGCGGTTCTTGGTCTTGTGCAGGAAGTGGATGAAGCGCACCCCAGGGCCATACTGGCGGAACACGTGTGACACCTGCGTTAGGAAGCACCGGGTTGGGAAGGAGTACTCCTTAGGGACCCTGTGAGCTCCTGGGAAAGCAACCCCCATCTCACTTGGATCCAGTGGCCAGCTGGGCCCCTCCCGGGGCTGCGGGGGGCCACGTGGTGCTGTGCAATGACTGTGCGGCGGTCCGCTGCCAGCAGCCAGACGTGCAGCTCATAGACGCACTGGTCCAGCCGGCTGTCCTCATACCTGGAGGTGGGGCCCGGGCCTCAGCTGCCATGCAGCCCACTTCCCCGACCCAGCCACTGACCTGTCCCTCAGCATACACTGGCTGGTACCCAGGCGGCATGACCCAGGCAGGCAGTGCCCACACAGCCCTCACCCTGTCTGTCCTCATGGGAGGCACAGTCCAGTAGGCCAGACATGTCACCCAGCAGGGACAGCCAGCGACGGCCAGCGGGGAAGAGCAGAGGCACAGGCAGAGAAGTGGGGGCAGGCAGGGCACTGTAGTGAACACATCAGAGCAGGGGCGGTCAGGGAAGGTCTTGGAATGAGGAAGAATTCATCTGGAGAACAGGGGGATGGACACCCAGGGAGGAAGGAACAGCTGCAGAAAGCCAAAGAAGGAAGAGTCCAGGCTCATTTTATGAAACACAGACAGCAGGAGCTGGAGAGGTGGGGCGGGGTGGGCCTGCAGCATCATGGTCAGGTGAGGAGCCCAGTACTCAGAGGAGCAGCCAAGGAGGTTCTGGGGGACCAGAGGAGGCTGCAGGGCAGGGCACACACCAGTCCATGATGGTGACATCAGGCTGCTCGTCATCCAGTAGCTCCTCCCACAGGCCCTCGGCCAGGAGGTTCACACACTGCTGCTTCACTGTCCAGCTGCAAAAGAGGGTGGAGACTTGGGGATGGGCAGGGACCCGGGGGTCCCCCAGGGAGCAGATCTGATCATGGTGCTCTCATAGTGACGCCTGCTCCCTCAGCACCATTCAGCAGCCTTTGTAGCAGGTACGAAACTGAGGTCTTGCAGAGCCAGGCATGGTGCGCACATCTATGATCCCAGCACTCTGGGAGGCTGAGGCAGGGGGATCCCAAGTTCAATCCCAGCTTGGGAAACCTAGTGACTTGTGACTTAGTGAGACCCTGTCTCAAGGCAAAAAAATAAAAAAGAGGGATGTAGCTCAGTGCAAAGGCCCTGGGTTCAGTCCCCAGCATGGGCTTGGGGGAGGCATGGGACTTTCCCAAGGTCATGCTGAAAAAAGTGGCAGAGCCAGGATCCAAACGCGGGCATGCATGACTCTGAGCCCCTGCCACACCCTCTCATCCACTGTGGATGGATGGAGGATTCATGGGGGCCTTCCCCTCCCAGAGAAAGAGTCTGAGAATAACAATAACAATCACAGTTGCTGTTTATTGAGCACCTGACCTTGCTGGCCCCTATGCGGCAAGTTTTGTAAGTATCTCTCCTACGCTAATTCCGGTACCCGGAGCAGGAAGGAGGTCCAGGGAGGCCAAGGCTGCTTCCGAAGCCCCACAGCTTCAGGAGGAGCACGGAATGAGCCCGAGGCCCCACTCACCTGAGGTTCTGATGGAGCAGCTCTGTCCGGATGTGCCATCCTCGGAAATTGCCTGGCAGCGGGGGAGGAAGGGTTACGGCGTTTCTCTGGGGACAGCCCTCCCCTGGCAGCCACTGACCCCGGAGCTTACCCAGAGCCTCCAGGGGCTGTCGGGTGGGACGGGTAGGGGGTGCGGGCTGGTAAATGTTGATGCCTGAAACGCAGAGGGGAGGGAGCTTGAGGCCAGCACCCGGCACACCTCCCTCTCCCTGACCCAGGGTAGAGAGAGGGCAGGAGCCTGCGCCGGGCCAGAGCAGCCCAGCAGGGACGGGTGAGTCAGGGCTCCCCGGGGAGGGGGCGTGAAGGTGTCCTGGGAAAGAGAAGCCGTGCCGTGAGGGGCTGTGGAGAGTCGGAGGACACAGAGAGGAACCCAGAGAGAGACAGATACAGGCAGGGAGAGAGAACTACGAGACAGAGTGAGGGGGAGCCGGGGAGATGCTGGGACAAGAGACAGGCGAAAGGAGCCGCAGGACAAAGATGCAGGGAGAACGAGCCCCAAGGACACAGAAGGGTGCAGAGGCACGAAGAACGGAGGCCGAGCCCGAGCTAGAGAAGCAGGGAAGGGGACGCGGTAGAGGGAGCGCCGGCCGGAGCGCGCACCCTCGGGGTTGGGCGAGTGCAGCAGGTTGCGGTAGAGCGGCCGCCGCTGGAGCAGCAGCGTCCAGGTGACCCTCGGGGGCAGCAGCAGGCTCTCGCCCAGCGGCCCCCATTCGTCCAGCAGCAGCTGCCGGGCCTTGGCCTCCGACGGCTCGGGCTGTAGGAGCTCGGAGGTCTCTGGGGTCGCAGGCGGCGGCGGGGATGGCGGCGGCGGCGGTGAGGGGAGCGAAGGGGGCAGCTCCTGGGCGCTCTCCGGCCTGTCGGCCTCCATCCCCGCGCCGACCGCGGCTGGGTCCTTCGTCTCCTCCATGCTCCGGTGAGAGCGACTGCGCCCCGAGAGGCAGGCTCCGCGGTACCTGGCGGGAGGGCGGGGCGGCCGCACGGGAGGAGAGGGGCGGGGTGGGGAGGATCTGGGCCCGGGCTCCTCCCTCAGACCGGACCTGAGCCCTCCGCTGCCGCTGGGCCTCCTCCCTCGGACCGGGGTCCGGGCCCGGCCTCCTGCCTCAGACTCAGAGGTCCAGGACCTGCTGTTGTCCCCTCATTTTCTCAGCCTTCCTGCCCCAGTTTCCCAGGGCCAGCTGAGGAGCCGCGCACTGGCCCTGGGCAAGAGATGTGACAAATAAGCTAATGCCAGGGCACTGCTCGCTAATGAGGCTTGTCCACCTCGTTAAGATCAGGCAGCAGGTCTAAAAGGCTAATTAGTGAAAACCCTACTTCCTCCGACCCCACTCTGGGGTCAATGGGGGTGGCAAGAGCTCCAGCCTCTGCCACTTCTCTGCCCTCTCTGGAACTCGTCTCTGTCCTGGAAGCAAGGTGTGGCGATCAGCAAGAGACCCAGCACCAGAGATGGAGCTAGCAGTGGGGTTCCCAGGACCCCAGAGGAAGCAGAAGAGAAGGAAGCAGCAAATGTTATTTTTCTGGGTGTCCTCGCCACCACCCCACTCAGGTCCCGGTCACAGGGAGTTTGGAGTGAGGGATGGGGCATGGCAGGGGCAGGAGGCGGGTGCGGAGGAACCTGTAGGACCAGGTCCCTGAGGGCCACTTCCTGGCCCAGGTAAGGGGGACAGCATCGCCACAGCACACTACAGCGCGCTGGTCTGAGGGTTCTGGGCATTTCCTGTCCTAACAGATGAGCCAGGGCGACTAAGACTGCAGTTGGTAGGGGAAGGAAGGGTGACAAAGCAGGTGAGGAGCGCCCTGTGTGCTTCCTGATGCCTCCAGCCCCACCTCACCCCCATGACGACCCTGTGAGGGGTGCAACTGTGTGATCCCCACTTTACAGATGAGGAAATGGAGGTCAACGCCCAGGCCTGGTGCCCTACACTTCCACAGGTACTTTCCGCCCTGCATTCCCTGGAGACGGAGCCTGACTGTCGAAACACTGGGAGCAGAGCTCACGTAATTGAGGGCTGCTGGGTACCAGGTATTATACTCAGGCCTGTAGGTTGGGAAATTCATTCAGCCTTACATCCACCATAGGAAGGATGCCTCGATGCTATGTTCATTCCTCAGATGAGGAAATGGAACACAGAGAGGGCTTGTAGCTCACCTGAGGTTGCACAGCTGGTAATGGTAACTTGAAAACTCTTGCACACAGGGACACAGAGTGGAATCAACCCGGAAGATGGTTCTATTTATTAGATGTCTTGAACTCTTCAACCTTTAACAGCCCTGCGGAAGTGGGAACAGGTAATAAATAGGAGCTCTGTTTACAGATCAGGGAACTGAAGCAAAAGAAGCGGGATGACCTGCCTTGGGGGAGTTGGGAAGTCACCAGAACCCTGGGGGCAGTGGGGACCCTGGGAGAGAGCAACCAGCACATGCCAGGCAGAGCCTTCCCAACCGGGAAGTCCTCAAAAGTCCCCAGGGAAACTGGCAAAGTACACAGCACACTCATGACCAGAGCTTCTCCCCTGGCCACCACAGCCCACACCCTGTCCTGCTGCCCACCCAGCTGCCCGGCCCTGTCATCCTCATCATCATCGGCACAGGAGAGGAGGAGGGAGTCAGAATCCAGGGCTGGGCATGGCTCAGGCAGAAGAGCTGTGACGGAAGTGCATGGAAATGGTGGGGGGGGGGGCTTCCTGCCCTGGCCTGGCTGTGGTTTGTGCATCATCTTCCTTCTGCCTCACCTTGCTGTCCTGAAAGCCAAACCCAACCACTGAAACCCTCCGTGGCTCCTAGTGCCTCCAGAGAAAATTTTATCTCTCTGGTTGGCATTCAAGGCCTTGGATTTCTGGTCCCTGCTATTGTGACCTCTTCTCTCCTGTGTCAGGGCCTTTGCTCATGACATTCTCTTTGGCTGGGACATCCTTGTCTCTCACCTGTACCCCCATACTTGTGGTTCCCAAGGATTAGGGTATGTCAGAGTCACCCAGGGAACTTATTACAAATGCAGATTCCTAGTCCCACCCCAGGAGTCTAGGATGGGCCCAGAACCTACAGGGACAACTTTTACTTAACCTGAGGGACCCAGGACCCAGCTTGTGCCCTGGAAGCAGGTGGATTCCAGCTCAGATCCCAGACTCGCCTCTCTCCACTGGAAGATCTGATCTGGGAGGCCCCAGCCTTGGGCTGGCTCTTTCCCTAATTGGCTGTGGCCTGGGTGGCCCCACAGCAAGCTCCCCAAAAGCGTTGCGTCTTGCGTGGTACACGTGACAGTGTGTGAGCAGCGGTGTGGCCACTTTGGGTAAAGATTTGGCAGCGTGTTAGGAAAGCAAACATGCTTCCACCCTACACCCCAGCAGTTCCATGCCTGGGACGAGGCAGGGGGACTGCACTGGTCACTGCACTTTCTCCCAAGCCCGAGCTGCAGACAGCCTTGTTCTGCAGGCAGCGCACACTGTGCCAGGGCTGGGATATGGACTGGCTGAAGGCCTCGAGTTGAAGTCTTGGGCCCCAGGTTTTGGCTACTCAGTGGTATGGGACCCTCAAGAGGCGGGGCCTCATGGGAGGTTCCTGGTCACAGGACCGTGGCCTGGAAGGGACAGTGGGACCCCAGCCCCTTCCTCTTTTGCTCTTTCACTTCCCAGCCATGAGCAGCTTTGCTCCTCCACACACTCTTCCTACCCTGTGCTGCTACCTCAACACAGATCCCTTTGAATGGGCCAATTGACCACGGCCTGAAACCGTGAGCCAAATAAACCTTTCTTCTTCTTAAGTTTATTATCTGAGGTATTTTGTTACAGTCATGAGAAGCTGACTAACACAGTGATGGATCCAAATAGTGGAGCAGTGCTCAGCAAACTAGCAGGGTGTGGCACTTGTAAGGCTGAGGCAGGAGGATAGAGAGTCTGAGGCCACCTGGACTACAAAATGAGACCCTGTCTCAAAAAGAGAGAAGGAGGAAGAAGGGGAAAAAGAGGAAATGGAGGAAGGGGAGGGGAGTGAGGGAGCGAAAGGGAGGGAAGAAAGGAAAGAAGGAAAAAAAGAAGCAAGGGGAGAAGGGAGGGAACAAACTATCCAAATGTAGAACATGGATGACCTGAAAATTGCTATGCAGGGTGACAAAAGCCAGGCAAGAAAGATAACCTGCCATGTGATTCCATTTATATAAAATTCTGGAAGAGGTAAGGCTAGTCTCAAATCAAAGAGGGAGGGGCAGTTTGCAGAGGGCTGTGGGGATTAATGGCAAAGAGGCACAAGAGTGAACTTTCTGGGATGATGAAAAGGTTCTGTCTTCATTCTCAAGGTCAAGGTAATCATGTGAGTGCAGATATTTGTCAAAACTCATCTTCCTGTAAATATTTTTTTAATTTTTTGTTTGAGATAGAATCTTGCTATGTACTTAGTTTAGGCTGGCCTTGAACTTACCAAGTAGCCCAGACTGGCCTTGAATTCATTGTGATTCTCCTGCCTCGCCTCCTGAGTGCTGGGATTACTAATGTGTACCATTTCGCCCTGGCTGTCAATATATATATATATATATATATATATATTTTTTTTTTTTTTTAAACCAGGGGTTGCACTTGGGACCTTACGCTTTTGAGGCAGGTGGCAGAACCACGGAGCTAAATCCTCAGCCCAAAACATTGTATGTTTTTGGTTTTTTTGGTACCAGGGATCGAACTCAGATCCTTGCACTTGAGAGGCAGGCGGCGGAACCACTGAGCTAAATCCCCGGCCCTTGTCTCCCTGGGTATTTTAAATGGAAGGCAGCCATGCTCACCACTATACCACCAACGCCCGCTGTTTGTGTATTTTAAATAGGTACATTTTCTTGTGTGTAAGTTACACCTTGATAAAAAACAAATCAGAAAGGATGCGGTGGCTTTCTCTACATTCTAGTAAGGAAATGCTTGCAAGTCTAGTAAGTAAAGCAAGCTGTAGGGCTGTGGAGCTCACATGCTGTAATTTGTGACAAGACAACATATTGAATATGGCTCCGTCAGTCTTCCCGGGAAGGCCACCTGTGTTCCTCAGCTTTCTGTCACTGTAACAAACACCTGAGACAATCAACAGGGGAGACCAGGTTGCCCTGGGCCACAGCTCCGGAGGTTTCAGACCATGGCTGGCCCGCCGTCCTTGCTGCTCCGGCCCATAGGGGCGTATTGTGGCTGGAGTGTGTGGTGATACAAACTGGTCACCTCAGAAAGAGAACAAGGGGCGGGTCCCACTGTCCCCTGCCTCCAGGAACATGCCCTCAATGACCTCCGACCTCCCACTAGGCTCCACCCCTTTGAAATAGCACCAAGGGAGGGAAAATGAATTTTCAATCTGTGCTTTGTACTTTTGGGGATGTGTACGACTTACTCCATTACTGATTCTAGAAAAAAAAGGTTGTTTTGTTTTGTTTTGCTTTGCTATGTAGCCCAGGCTTGCCTCAAACTCATAGTGATTCTCCTGCCTCCCAAGTGCTGGATCACAGGCTTGAGCTACTATACCCACCAAAAGAATATATATATATATTTTTGGTACTGGGGATCGAACTTGGGACCTTGTGCTTTTGAGGCAGGTGGCAGAAAAACTGAGCTAAGTTCCCGGCCCAAAAGAATATTTTTATAAAGGGGACAAAGATCCATAGTTTCCTGTATTCTTGCATTCTTTTGACCATGCACCTTTTTTTTTTCCCCATTAAGTTTATTGGTACATTTTCGGTATAAAATACAGTTACATACATCATTGGGATCTTGT